AGTGTAAATCCTGTGAATGATGCTGTGAGCAAAAACGCTCATGAAAGTAACAGCATGGACAGCTACGGTAGTATTGTGTTGGAGAACCACTTGAGAGAGTTGCTGTCAATATGATTTGTCCTCTAGTTTAGCGTAACAGTGGGAACAATTACATCATGGTTATGAAGAACTATTTCAGCAAATAAGCAGAAACATATGCTGTTCCTAACCAAGAATAAGAAACTCTAGCAAGTAAACTCGTCAATGAATTCGTTTTAAGATTTGGTGCCTATGGAACTTTGCTCAACTCAGAGACGAATCCTTGAATCAGCCTCTTTTGGGAAAATGTGTCAGATCCTTGGAATCAAGAAGACCAGGACAACATCCCTTCATTCATCTTCTGATGGCATGGTGGAGAGGTACAACCAATTAAACACTTATATGAATGAACGTCAGAAAACGTGGGATCAAGATCTTCCACTGTTACTTATTAGTTATTGAATAACAATAAATGACGATACATGCAACACACCATCATCAAGAAAGTTTGAGAAAGAACAAAGTGCCATTGTACCTTCTTTACTCACATCAAAAGGACAATCATTCAGCAGTCTTTCACAGAATAAGCAGAGAGGTTGAATAACAACATTCATATTATACATGACTTTACCTGGGAAATACTTATATCAGCTAATGATAAAATAAAAAGTCGTTATTATGTTATTTTTCTGATCATCAAGGAAGGAACTGCCAGTGGATTCACTAAACCACCCTCCTAGAGAGAGCTCTCCCAGTGACAGGACAACACATAACGATAAGAGACATGAGGTCATCCCATCTGCATACCACAAGTCTCTGAGAAGAAAATCCCCAAAAAGATTTGTTTAATGGACACTTTAGCGTACTGTTTTATTCATTCTTGGGTGGACATCAAGTATTTTCAACCGTTGCATTAAGATATAATGTCAGTAGCTTGTGTCGACATCAAGTATTTTCAACCGTTGCATTAAGATATAATGTCAGTAGCTTGTGTCGACATCAAGTATTTTCAACCGTTGCATTAAGATATAATGTCATTAGCTTGGGTCGACATCAAGTATTTTCAACCGTTGCATTATCGCACGACAAAATTCTACATTTTATAGTACCACTAGATATATACACAAAACACATGGTCAGGGCCGGCGCCATACTATTTTGCCCCCAAGGCCAGCTACTTGCACCCCTTGAAAACAATAAACTGATTATGAACTAACAATGAACTATAAACTATTATGAACAATGAACTATTATATTTTCCTTTTATTATGTTTTTTTCTTAAAACAACTAATTTGTATAAAACTGTGACCCTTAAAGGTCAGTACTGCGCCCCTCTGAGGTCTACGCCCTAGGCAGTTGCCTAGTTGGCCTAATGGTAGCGCCAGCCCTGCACATGGTAACGAAGCACCACAAATCTGGAAAACGACGATAAATTCGTTAAAGTGCACTTTAATTCCATCAAAACAAAATCCACGTTTCCTTCTTATTGAGGTTATATTTTAGTCAAGACGGGGAATGGTGTTGAGTGCTTTCTTTAAAAGTCGTGCCAACAATTATACTCTTCAAAAACGACTTTTTGACTGTCAAGCTGCTAAGTCTGCCATGTTTTGGTTTCGATCTCTGAGGCTAAGCACGTGGCTGCTGTAGTGCATCAAATTTTACTAAAGTTAATTGTGTTGACTTTACAGATACATCTCAAAAGTAAATAGACACCATGATGTTTATTCAATAGTCATTTAATTAAGAAAGACTCCCATGGCCAAGTCAGTCACCTGATATGAACCCCATCGAGCATGTCTGGGCCATAATTGCTCGAGCAGTGAGAAGAAGTTCCAGAAAACCAGCGTTCCGTGGAGAGCTACTTGATGTTTTGCGTACAGCCTGGGTCAAGATCCTACAGGAGAAAATTGCAGAACTCATTGATTCCATGCCAGAACGAGTCAAAGCACTGAATAAATGCTAGTGGCAAATCGACTAAGTACTGATGCACATTTGTAAACATTTTTGTCAAGTTGATAATGTGAGATAAATGACTATTGAAGAACATCATGGTGTCTATTTACTTTTGAGATGTCTCTGTAGAAGCGGGTTTTTATCGTCTTTAGTGTTAGTCCCAGCCGGTGACAGAACAACAACAAAATTATAAAAAAATAGCATTTGGAAATACTAAAATGTTCTGAATTTTCTGACACTTTTGTTTAGCTTTCTGTTATCATAGAAAACGTGTCACAGATAACTAACGATATACCCAACATTTTCAGTGCAACTTTTATAGTTTTTATAATATCATTTACACTATCTTAATATTCTCAATGTCTTTCATTAGCTCTTCATTACACTTTCAAATTGATCTGTAACATTTATAATAATATTCACGAAGTTCAGGGCAATGAAGATGTGATCTATAAAATACTCATGTGTGGTAGATCAGATAAACCTTTAGAGTTGCCAAGATAAACTAATTATCGAGTTGTTTGGTTTGTTTTGAATTTTGCGCAAAGCTGCATGAGGGTTATCTACGCTACCCGCTCCTAATTTAGCAGTGATGGACAAGAGTGAAGATAGCTAGTCAACATCACCCACTGCCAACTCTTGGGCTACTCTTTTACCAACGAATAGTGGGTTTGAATGTCACATTATAACGTCCCCACGGCTGAAAAGACGAGCATGTTCGATGATATGGATTCGAACCCGCAACCCCAAGGTTGCAAGTCGAGTGCCTTATCCACCTGTCGAGTTTTTTTTTTGTGAATATATTTTCGACTAAATACTTACTGATAAATCTATGACGTTTTGGTTTCGACCACTAAGGCTAAACACATGGCTTTAATGCATTACTGTTATCATTTTACTTAGTGCTGGAATCTTCAGAAAATAAAAGGCTAAAACTACAGCAACATAATTGGTGACTGTAGCTACAACGAACTTTAATAGATATTTAAACAACAAGTGGAATGTTTCTGTTGAAGAGGTTAATGTATATGCATCTGGTTCGCCCGTTTTCAGTTCTTACTGTACCACAATCAATTCTATTGATAAATGAATGTCTTCATTCGCCACATTAAGAACACTCGTTAGCAGATTTAATACCGAATGACATGTTACTTTAAAATACAGGGTAGTAAGAATAAATTAGTAATGTAAATAAATTTATCTGTAGCAGCTATTCCGAATTTTTCTCTCCATTTCAAACTTTGTGAATGTCCGTGACATAAATCAAACAAAACAATCATTAAAATCATTTCAGTAAATACTTGACAGAACTGATAATTAATCATGGAAATTGGGTTGAAATAGCTGTCGCTACTGGCAATGAGTTAATGAGGTTACTCAGAAATGAAAGAAAATTTGGTTCTGTGTAGTAAACAAACGGTCTTAAAAAAAAGAAAAAGCTTTCGTCTCTTTGAATTTCTGTTATACAAAAAATGAGGATTTTTATAAAACTGATTTTCAATGTATATTACAATTTTTAAAGTTTTCTGTTTAATTTCTACTATTACTAGTTGTTTATGTTTTTACTTGATTTTTATTTTTTTGCGTTAACTGCAAACTTTATTATTTTTGGAGGGCTGCACTGTATCGTAAAGTATTCAAACGTGGAGAAGAACACAAAAGCACTTCTTAAGATTAGTTCAACGCAAAAGCTTCTAAATCTTCTACTTTCATTCCCACTAGACCCCCCCCCCCCAGTGGCACAGCGGTATGTCTGCGGACTTACAATGCTAGAATCTGGGTTTCGATACTCGTGGTGGGTAGAGCACAGATAGCCCATTGTGTAACTTTGTTCTTAACTACAAACAAACATTCCCACTAACTGCAGATCGAGTCACGTACTTTCTGTATGTTTGACTATTTATATTTTGTATTTATGGCAAAACTACTAAGGCTAACTGCTGCCACTCCTAATATTAACTACTGACCGGTCAGCAAAACCATACCACCCACCATCCAAGCTAAGGGATTAATTGCCATTTTTGTAACGCAAAAACTTTGTAAAACTTATCAATCAACCATACCTATAGGATTCAATGACGAGGAACCACCTTGTACCTGACTTGTACCTGATGATGACAAAACCTTGTCGAAACATTGTACATTTGCTGTTATGTTAAACTTATATTAAAGTTTTTCTTCATTACCCATTCAAGCCGTCTCCAGCCATTATACACCTATAGGATCTTTACAAATTATTCTATACTCTTCTTAACTACCCGTTAAAACATGTATATCATCTATACGGTTGAATAATTGGAACATTACTTATACTATTAAAAGTCAAGGTACACAATATCATTTTAAAGTAGACATGAACTAAACATAATTAATACTTTAACTATAAGGCTTAACATTAGCAAATTCCCTTTCAACATAACAATTCATGACAACTTGCTTTAAAAACAAACGTTTTGGGTGTTTTGTTTCCGTATATAATTTGTGTTGTTATTTTAAAATACCAGATGTGTCATTACAACTGTAACTCGTTCTTGTACGGGACAAAACCTAAATATGTTTTGTAATTATTAAACACCAATCACATTTATCACCAAATCGTATAGCTCTACAATTCAAAATAAATTTGTGAAATAAAGTAATTTTTTAAATAGTTAAGTATTGTAATTAAACAACAAAACGTTTTAATCTGAACGTTTAACATAAACTCCAATACAAGTAAATGTTCTTAGTAACATTTGCCAACATTTTGAACTGTTAATCCTTAAATATCATGATATGTTAGGCTCGTATCTATCAGTCCGACATTTTGATTCTATAATTATTCAATCAAGTTAAATGAATAATATTTCTGTTATACAATATATACACAAAAACACAAATTGGTAAAAATATCCTATCATGGAAATCTCGCGCGCTAGCGGATTTAACTACCTCATTAATAACATTTTCGGTTTCTACGGTTTTAATAGGACCATACTCACTACCCAAGTATTAAACATACTTCCACACACAAAAAACAAAGTCTTACCTGGCCTGCTGTGTCACATAACTGTAGTCTGGTGAGATGGTTGTCCACTGTCACTATCACTTAACATGAAACGTTACAAGAGAATGACGAACATTAAATGGACTGTATTATAGAAGCTTTTGAATAATTCTTACAAAATACGTCAAAACTTTTCAGGTAGAGAGAATAATAGTTGCTCGTTAGATATTTTCTCCTCTCAAGAAATAAATCAGTCATTAAAGAATCTATACCTGACTTTAAAAAGTGACAATACTTTCAAAGTGCTCAGCGGTTTGAATCTTTTTACAACCATCATCTCCCTACAACTTTCATGTTTCGAACTATTAAAACTTAAGTATCATGATATGTTAGGCTCGTATCTATGAGTCCGACATTTTGATTCTATAATTATTCAATCAAGTTAGATGAATAATATTTCTATTATACAATATATACACAAAAACACAACTGTACGCTTGTTAACAGCCGTCAAGATGTTTAAACAAATGTATGCAGTTTTTAAAGAGTGACGTTCTTTCAGTGTCTTCAACTGAAGAGGTACAAATATACTAGTATACTAAAATTATAATCGATTTGAACGTATTCTTTCCTACTCGGCTTTACACACATTTAACGAAACACAGAATGTACGAATAATGTTTGTATTACTACCCAGATTATTCAAACGAGGCCAGTAATGTTGAAATGACATATATATACTAACAAACAAAGATAATAGAAATATATTCGACCTACCAGAATAGTTATCAAAAGCGGTGGGGACGTATTCACTAGGGTAACCGTTGGTTGTGTAAGTCACTAAGATACTCGTTTTCCCGACTGCTCTGTCACCGATAAAGACGAATTTTATCATATTAATATTTCTATCGGTTGTAGAATCGAAGCTCGACGTAGTACTTGTGTAGTCCCATATCGAAAGTTGCATAACGGTTAACGTAAAACAGCGAATACTAGAGAAAAACGACCTGTATGAAGTTAGTTAAGAACTGAGCCAAACGCGATTACTAAACCGTAAATTCAGGCAGCTTAGATTAATAATTAATACGGTCATGATGCCATAACAGCTTTAAGTTAAACAGCCAGTAAATACAATATAAAGAGCAAAGCAGATAAGGATATTTTGAAAGAATATATCCACTCTCGTTTTACGTTAAGAGCTCTTTTTTTCCAGATCTAAAATTAACGTGCCTACCAGGAAAAGCATGAACTATGTCTAGGGAACTCGTACTATAGCTCGCGATTAGTGCCGTGACGTCATTCTAAATTCTCATTGGGTTAACTCTGACTTTGGTTGACGATGAGATAAACAAACACAGAATTTGTGCTGTTGGTAAGTGACTGAGTATGCAACTTAGACAATATAACTACATTATATACGAATGAAGAGTTTCTTTATTGTTTGTTTGTAGTTAAACGCAAAGCTACACAATGGGCTATCGGTGCTGTGCCCGCCACGGGTATCGAAACCCGATTTTTAGCGTCGTAATCTTACAGACTTACAGCTGAGCCACTTGGGGCCATGAAATTCTGAAGCAAGTCCAGCGACAGAGAAAAAGGAAATGTTGTGTATTTGTAATATTACTTTACGAACTTTTAAACAATAAAGAAACGCCCCCAGTGGCACAGCGGTATGTCTGCGGACTTACAACGCTAGAAACCGGGTTTCGATACCCGTAGTGGGCAGAGCACAGATAGCCCATTGTGTATCTTTGCGTTTAACTACAAACAAACAATAAAGAAACTCTTCATTCGTATATAATATTACATTTGCATAAAATATGGAAATACTTAATGCCTTTATCTCATTTTGGAAGATCTATAACACAAATAGTTACCCCTTAATGTGTAATAATAGTAATATCAATAAAAATAGGCCATAAACAAAGACAATATTCCCAGCTCCATGGCACTAAAATAAACTGAAATGTCCTTTAGTTATAAATATAGATGAATGAAGATCATTTCAAATTCAGTTCTTTTCGTTTACTCGTTTTGGGAGCTAGCTAGAAATTGAACGAATTATTTGTGACACTCCAGTTCGTTCTCTAGTGCTTGGGATACAGACAATAATTAATTGCCGTATGCGAGTATTAGTATACATATTATTACATCAAAAATGTAATAAAACATTACAGAATTTGTAAACATCAGATAAAAAAAATTGTCAAGCTTTAAAATACCGTTTGAGCTAGCATACTACATGAAATGACTAAATATGTATTCACATATATGCGAACTTATGGGAATATCCGTTAGTGCTGTGGTGTTTTTTTAAATTTTATACCTTAATTTACTCGTGGTTAAAAGTTACCAAAGCAATAGCTTGAACCCAAGGTGGTTCTCATTGAAACATTTAACGAGTTAATGATTTTGAAGATGTTTTGGTTTGAATTTCGCGCAAATCTACGCGAGGACTATATGTGCTAGCCGTCCCTAATTTAGCAGTGTAAGACTAGAGGGAAGGCAGCTAGTCATCGCCACCCACTGCCAACCAATTAATAGTGGGATTGACTGTTAGATCATAATGCCCTCACGGCAGAAAAGGCGAACATGTTTGGTGAGAAGGGGAATCGAACCCACGACCCTCAAATTGCAAGTCAAGCGCCCTAACCACCTGGCCACGGTGTGCCTTTGGAACATCTAAAACCATTCTTTTAGTAAGCATTACAAGTATTTTTTTACGCAAATAAATCAAACTTTTTAATAAAATATTTTTACTAAAGACTTATCTGCGAATTTATGGAGTCATAGTATGACTCAGACTCTGAATAATCTGAGTGCAAGGTGTTTGTCATATCAAGTTTGAAAATACATTTTTACATCTTAGTTTTCGAATTTCATTTGCATTATCTCCAGAATCTCCTAGATCAATAATACTTTTATCTATAAAATTTTATACTTTATCTGTTATTTTCTTTACCCTGAGACTTTGTACGGACTTGGTCCATTTGACCGACCTTGTAACCAACAAGTAACAAAAAATACAAAATATAAATCACCCGTTCTTTTCTAAAATGACTGCACATTGTAGCAAATAATTACATGCTATTTATTTTCAGCGCTAAAGCTAATGGATTATTTATTTAGTTTTATTTGTTTACAGTTGCACTTAGACCCTCTCATACTATGATGATAGCTACTTATTACACAACACAGTTTTATCTTAACAACGAATCCAGTTACAAGCAAACTTTTGTCGAATTACACAACCGCGTTCGTACTTGGCTTGTGCTATCATCGATCACGATATTTAATACTTATGTCTGAAATCTTGTCGTTCTCTAATTTTTGCACTCCCACCATAAAAGAACGTTAAATATTAACTGTAATTGTTGCTTATTTCTCTGTCAAGCAAAAAGCTTTGTCGATAAATTGAAAGTTTAACGCGGGATACGTTTAGTATAAGTTCTAAACTCCACAATAAGTAAGGAATTCATAAAGGGCAAAAGCAAATCGAAAATGGACAATTAAAAGTAAAGAATTGTCACGTGATACAGAAAGGTAAAACTGAGGTTTATTTAAATATTTTTTTTTCGAAATTAAGAATTGGTTCATGATATTTAAACCTGAATTATAAACTACATTTGACGCCAAGTTTATTGATATACATTGATCATAAAGTATTTTAATTAAATTTTTAAGGTAACTCTGTGAAAAAATCATGACACGTGCATTTTGACCTACCCATGCTCGAAGGGTTAATGCTATTGAGTACGTAATGGAAACACAACTTGGAAACTGAGAAATAACCATAGCCAAGCTGCACCAGTGGTTAAACTTGACGTAAAACAGTTATCCACTGGGCCAAGTTCAAGCTCAAAGGAAAGGGCCCTTTTAGAACTTGAGTGACTTCACAGGTTACCTATGTCATTTGTAGGAGAAAAGCTTACCTTACAACATAGTTGGCAGATTAAGAGGACGTTATTGGTTGCAAGTTCATTAAGAGACATATAAGTGAGATCATAAGTCATCACCTCGGAGTATGTGATATTTGTATCCTGATAGGGGTGGTATCTGTGATGAGGAGGTTTGGGGGTAGTCACCTCACAAAAATCACTAAAGAGAAGGAAACCATTGGCAGCAGCTGGGATTATGCCTCTGGATGTGATTTGCCCTGCTCAAGCAGGTACCTTCTGTTGAACTCATGCTCTACTGAAAGTGGAGCCACAAGCAATACCTCCCAGTGTATTGCCGCAAATGGACAGGTTTTTCCAGGGAGAACCAGAATGTATGCTATGGTTGTGAGCTACAGGAGCATTTCTGTGTAAATTGCCCATATCTTGCCATGTAACAAGACAGACAAGTTCCTCCACTCTGATTGACTGCAAATGAGGTGGAGGAGGGCCAGCAGTGAGCTATAGTTGTTACTGCACAGGTTCTGTCAAACTAATAAGTCCCAAGGTTTAGATGGCCACTCATTTAGAAAAGCACAACAGACAATATGTGCCCAAAGTGTGGTGGTCAGCCCAGCAATTTCTGAGGAGAGTGATGCTTTTTATATCTGGCAAAAGTACACAGTAGGGCAATGGACACAAGAGATGAAAAGACTCCATTAGATATCACTGTGTGTCAGGCATTCTGAGTGAAGTCGCCATTCCAGACAGTGAGCACTCACTTTGTTCTGGTGAATGATAACATGCTAGATGTAAATAGAGAGGCGGGCCTCTGAATACATCTAGGTCGCTTGAAACATAGAATGAAGGTCATTTTGCAGGCCTCAATTAAGGCATTGGCATTCTCTCTGCTAACTGCATCTGTGCAATGGATGAACTGAATTTCAGTGGGAAATCCATTCAGTGCCAGTTAGAACCGAACATGGAACAGTGAATCACTTACGTGTTCCTTGTGAATCAAACAACAGTACCTTTATGTATGTAAGTGGTGTGCCATGCATTACTACAGATGGGGTCGAGTTCATTGGCACTGTGTAATGAGCTGTTGAACCAATGTGTGAAACTGTTTTCTGTCCAGAAAGTACACAGCAGTAGCATGGAGAGTGACATATTCATTAATGGATAAAGTCCTAGTTTTACTCTGCAGTTATGAATGATCAGTAATCCAAATTCCCACTAGAATGATAGTCAGAGCAGTAACCAATGTGGATGCAACCAATTATAGTTGTAATGCTACTGTTGCTTCCATTGCACTGAGTCTGAAAGCAAACACTCGGTTACCAGCACATCTGACGTTGCTAGTTGAGAATTGTGGCAGTAATCTAGACTCAACACAATGGCAATATCTTAATGAACTGCTGAATAAAAATGCCAGTGTATTTGGAGACAATATGGCTGATTATACAGAACTATAATCATTCACCACCACATAGACACAGGCATTGCGAGTCTGATTAAACAACTGCTGCACAGGAGTCCCTACAGCACCAGAGATATAGCCAATGCAGAGATAAGAGATACAGTGAGAGGTGCTCATTGGTTCAGAATTCTAGATCTGGCCTCTGGATACTGGCAAGTAAACTGGATAACAAGAGCAGGGTAAAATGGCCTTTAGCATTCAAGATGGTGTGTTTGAATTCCAAGGTATACTATTCAGCCTGTGTAATGTTATGGCGACTTTGAAGAGGCTAATGGAGCTGAAATGGTAGAGATACCTGATATATATGGATGGTATTTTGGTATTTGGATAAATGTTCTAGTCTGCTTTTAAAAACCTGTCCATGGTTTTGCAGTATATAAGGCACGCTGGATTAATGTTGAAACCCAAGAATTCTGCACTAATATGCACACAATTAGAATTTCTTGGTCATATAATGGATAGAGAAGGTGTCTCGACTGAACATGCAAAGGTTGGAATGATTCAAGACTGGCCTCAACCAATAATGAGATAAAAAAAAGGTCCAACCTTTTTTTTTGTTTGTTTCATATTATTAGTTTTGAAGCTAGGTTTTTCATTATTACTACACCAATGACCACTCTTTCTCAAGTTGATATGCATTTCGGAGAGATTTGGAGTGCTAACATACATTTCTGTCCTAACACATGTTTTAGTGGAAG